ATAGAAATGAAAATTTTTAATAATAAGGGACATTTGAATTATGTCCTCACAAATAATTTAGGGACCCATCTTTACTTGTATTATTATGTTAAATTCAAGGGCAGCCACTATAATCCCAAATAGTTTTATTAAAATTTTGAAGGGCTGGCAAAAAATAATCTTGAAGAGTTGTAATATATAATTTTGTTATAAGGGAAAAAAGGTAAGTCTAATTTTTTTTTTTATTTAATAAATATTTTATCTTACCTTTAATCAAGATGCAAAGAGAAACAAGGGGGCCAACACCAAATTATGAAAAACATCTCTAATGTATATGACTTGGACTATAGTTAATGGTGGCAGAAAGATATTCAGCATTCTACTCTTTATGTGAATTATATCAAACATAATATTTACTTTTTTGCTGAAATTGAGTAAATGTAAACTTGTTACTTTAAATTACTTTTTTAAAGTTTCAAATGGTCCAGTTTTTATACAAGACATCAGGTAAGTCAGTTTTTAATATTTTTTTCTGAAAGAAAGGGCTTGGGACGGGTGATACACTTCTTAACTGTTCTTTATGCAGGGTTTGATGGATAATTTTTTTAGATACTTTGATTTCCATTTTGGCTATAAAAAGATTGGTTAGTTTTGTAGCAGTAACATGTCTGTTACCTTTTTTGCCAGTAGCAAGTTTTTTTAAGGTGGTACAAGCATGCTTATTAAGGAATTATAATTATCCCAATTGTTATGTTTGCGATTCGGTGGATCCAGTTTCAATAAAATGCTTTATAATGTTACTACCACACTTTTTTTGCATTTGATATTGGCTACAATATTACGATAGGTATCTTTTTTTTTGTAACCATAAATTATAGTTGCTTTTTGTTTAGAAGTTAATTCTTTATTAGTAGGCATTAGTGATTACATGAAAATTGAAGTGAAATTTTTTAAATAAATAAAAAAAAATAGTTTTTTGTTATATAATGATACATTTTATAAATTGAATATGTTGCACTTATATCTTGAGTATATTTTTATTAAAAAATTTTAATTAGTTTTTAAATTAAATTTTATTTTAAAAAAAAAAAATAGTTGTCCATAAACTTTTGTCCACCCTCTGTATATTTATTTTAATTATTTATTTTAGAGTTTGTATATATTATTACAATTTTAAAAGATTAGAATTAATTTAAATAAAAAAAATTAATTGATCAAAGAAGTAATAAGAAAGAAAAAAGATTGTATCTACAGTATATTTAATATTGATTTTTAAATAAAAAAATCAAACAAGTTTATATTTAGGTTATTATACTAATATACTGTAAAATTAAACAAAAAATAATGGTTATATTAAAAATAAGCTTTTAAATAATAATTATAAAGTATATTTATTTTATAAAAAATAATTTTTATTTAATTTTATTTTTAAATATTGGATAATAGAAAATTAAAAACAATGAGTATAATTTCAATTTATTATTTTTTTAAGTTAGTAAACATCATTGCTTTATGATTTTTATTTTTTGTGCGTATAAAATAGTTTTTAATGTGCGACGTCTGTTCGCGTCTGATTGGGCTTCTCGTCTGTTGTCGTCGCGTTTATACTTTCTTAGAAAATACTGTACGTATAATAAGACGATCGTCAAATACAATTCAATTAAGAACGGAAATCGATCAAGGAATAAAAAATTATCTCTAGCACGGAAAAGATGAAAGTAGCAATCGAGATTGTTGATATAATCTTAGAAAATAGACATGCATTCATGTACACTTAGGAAACTTCTAATCACAAATTCTAGATCATTTGATGACAAATAATTCGGTCAAATAAATCGATAAACCTTGACATTTTTTCCGGAAAAAAGGTATTCACTTGATGGAAGTTTCGATTTACGTATTTGTTAATTTGAGTAATGTACAATCCATAATGTCGACTTTGTTAATTCTTATATTCTTATATATGGTGTATTGTAGATTGAACTTTAAACATTCACACTTATACTAAAAAAGAAAGTATGATCTTTCTATCACTTGTTCCTAGAAAAAACCAATAATTTACTAACTATAGAATATCCACAAAGAATTTTATATTAAAATAATTACGCGGTTTAGTTCAAAAAAGGTAAAGATAATCCCTTCCTCGGAGTTACGGATCGAAAGACTTTATCAAATGACAAATAAAATCGGTCCTTTTAACTCCGAAGCAAAACTTTCAGCGTTACAATGATCCTTTTAAAGAAATTCCTTGGTTATACAGCAAACAAATAAGCGGATTAGTAATTGTAGCATGAACATTTTTAGAATTTGAAAAAAAAAAATAAAATAAGTATTCAAAAAAATTTTTCTCATTGTTTGCGGGGTTTGCCGTCTGAGCAAAATAATTTATATACCGTAAATGTTCAACGAAATAACAGTTTTAACGTTCTCTCATAAAATATCGGGACACTGGTTTTTAAGGAATAACACTTGATCCTTTGAAATGAGCTTTTTATTTAACTCATCAGTAAGGAGGATACCAGTTGAGAGAAGTAATACTCCTTCCTTCTTCATTCAATATGTCCGAATATGTACTTGCGTAAGAAGATTCATGACTTTTTTAATGTGTACCGTTGGAGTTGGTTCGTGTATTGCTTGCATACATTTTGGTATTGTACATCACCGTTTCATTTGCGTATTATTGCATTATTGTTATCATATTTAGTATCGTATTTTATAACCATAAATTTTCTGAATAATCAATGAATGCAGAATATAGAGAAATGAAAAATTACACTGATGCTGGTCATATGAGAGGGAAATATTACAATATGTCGGATGAAGTTCCAGAATTTACATCCGATTATAGGTATAATTAAACACTGTATATTCTTTGCCTCATTAACATATTTTTCACATTTGCCAATAATCGATCGATTCACCCTTTTCTAGCAAATTTGGAGTAAAAGGCTATGCCGTGTTTTGGCACATGCTCTTGCTTAGTTGTATGTATTTTCCTAATCGAGGCCAACGCTTCTTTTAATGTCTAATGAAATTTATTAAATTATTCAACTTCCTTTCATTTTTTTTCCTTTTTGGGCATCATTTTAGTTGTCAATATGGCATTTGGCATTTTCCCCTCCACAGTCTTGTAAGTCTTTCGCATTAAATTTAGGGAATGGGGATTTTTCGAAATTTTTCATGACCTTCTTAAAGCATAGGATTAACCCTATCAGTAATATACGCATGCACCGCTTCTCTCGACTTTATCCGTGGCCAACCGATGACATGTCCTCGAAGTAAGATTTTTTTTTTAATTACAAAACAATCCATTTGGAATTAGAATTTAATGATTTATTATTTTTAGAGTACGACCCAAAATTTTATGCGATACCTGGGATTGACAATCCGCTTAACTTAACATGTCAATATCACATTAAAGTAGCCATTGCATCTTGGGTAAACGTAGGAATTTTCGTGTTTTGCATTCTAATTTATTTTTTATTTATTCCAATGGGAATAATGGCTTATATAACGAGTGTAAAATTAGCACAATTCATTAAAAACGAATGGGCGTATAGGAAGGATTGTTATGTAGAATGGAAGTTGCAAAAAGATTATCTGAGAAATGAAAGGGACGGTTCCAGAAATGTAAATACGGAAACCAGAAATGTAAATACGGAAAGCAGAAATGATGTTGCAATTGATATAAGTAGAAATTAATATTATTAAATACTTTATAGAATTTGCATTTTAAGTAATTTGGAACATTTCATCCTTAATATAAAATTCATATTCTATATCATCGAGACAATTCACAATTTATAGTTAGATGATGGTGTAAGGGGTAGAAAAACAAAACGCGTGGCTCGCGTAATGCCATCGCCCAATTGTCATTGGGGCTGTTGGGGGATTTTTTTCGAGGATTTTTTACGAATACATCAAAGAGAGAAAAACACATGCAAAGAGAAATTAACGAACAAATTAAATAAAGCTCTGCATTATCCGATAAAGTAACTTCATTCTCTAATACATTCACTTATATTGTGCCAAGGTCTAACTCTTCTTTCGACGTTATATGATCGGCGATCCACCCGTAGCGACAGACTCGCTGAATTTCAACATTACAACATTCGTGCCTTATACTGCTTATCATGGTATCATAAACGTAATAAATAAAATGGTATGTTGAGTTGAAATTGCAGTATAATTAATTTTACTCTTGCTATAAAATTTAAAAAATATATTTCCATGCATGCCTGTTCTTTAAGAATGCTTTACTGTACGGATACTGTATACAGTACTGTACTACGGTATAACTTTATTACTTACACTCAAAGAAGATTGACAACAATACAGTAATGCAAATTTGTTATTTTTAAATTCATTTTCGAATTTTGCTATTTAAATTATCAACATCATCCTGGGATAAACATAAAATCGATGCTACATTAAAAGTTTAACCCGACTTATTTTCTTTTTGAAGATTAGTCTCGGTAGGTTTTATCTTGCGTAGAATTCTGCTACTTATTTAGCGCAAAGAAAAATAATTTATAAACATCCTTTTCACAATCTACTGCACTTTATTATTAATTTTATTAACTTTGATCTTCTTGCTTATAAAAAAATGCATCGTTACCTTTAATAAATTGAAAAATACTGTATGTTAACTTCTAATTTTTAATTCGATTTCTTATGCTCACATTTGAACTCCATATCTTTTATTTCACGTTTGTGAACTCCTCACTATAACTTCGTAACAGGAATACTCCACAAAAGTGGTTTCCTTTCTTTAATAATGAGTATCACACAAACACGTTTACTACGGTTTGTAATTACTACTAAAACGGAAAAGATCCAAGTATATTACTGTACTAGTAGAAGAGCGATTCCAAAAAAATAAAATAAATACTGTAGGTTGTAGCCAATACAGTACTGATCAACAATCCGTATGCTGTGCCAATCGTCAAAACAATGAAACACGCATAGTGTTTGTCATTGTGTTTGTAGGTGTATCTTATTGGAGTAAAAAAAAAAAAAAAATTTTTAAATAATTTAGAAATATTCGCTAGTTTGTTCCAATGGCATTTTCGGTTAAAATGTAGTATAGTACAAGTGACACTGTTAATAATCAACAATAGAATTATATTTTGACAAACTTTTCATATACAGTAAATGCGATTACTGTTTGTTATTAAAATTTAAATTTTGATAAATTTTATCATTACATTGCGATACAGTATTCAATTCCTTTTTCTTTTCGGTTTACGCGGACAATGATGATCCATTGCCTGTCTTGTTCGATCATCAGCGTGATTGTTCCTCTGATAATCCTCTCATTATTTGATATAAACATCGATAATATAAACAACACGCATTGGTTCAAAGTTAAACTTTTTTTTGATGACATGTTGTTTTGTTGACTCTTCATGGTAAAAGCAGAGAAACACAAAATACGCCAATGTGGGTCATACTGTAATTCTTTATTGATGGCATTTGTTCTGATTTTACCGAGGGAGAACTTGTTAGGACAATTTCGAAGAATTTATTTATTTATTAAATATGGTGGCAAACAAACAAAACTTGTGAAAAATAATAGTCGAGTAGAAAATATTATCAAAGTTAAAGGCGATGAATTCGAGAAAGAATTTGAAGACCAACCAAAAAAAAAGTTTATCGCAGTACACTAGCATAGCAAGCCTTCTCTGTAATTGGCTGATTTTTATAAATTATTTCATAATTCTTATGAATTTTATCGATTACTGAATTGCTCTCATTATACGGGAAGTCGTTACTTAACGAACTAATAATAATCTGTTATTAAATATATAGTAATAATAATGGTTGATCGGCGAGTCGAGTAAGAAAGCTACTGGAAACTTATTTATTTATTAGTTGGTTGCTTACGTGTTTCTCTCTTTACATGTTGCATATACTGTATTTGTTTTATTGATATCTCTCTAATTACATATTTCACAACAACCCCCATAGATCCAATTACAGGTTGACTGATCATTACGCAGCCTTCTTCAGTTATGTAAATTGATTGTTTTAGCTATGATTACCAATTTTTCGTGTACCGCTTGTTATATCCCAATTCTAAGACCAAAATACCCATGCGGAAAAAAGCTTCGTTTTTTAAAGATCACGATGTTGGCACTATATAGCATGTATTTAAATTATATACAGTATATACATGCTACCCAATAAAAAAATTAATAGTCCTAAAGTTTGGTAAATTTATTGTAAAAATCTTTTTTTTTTTGAATGGTTTACACGATTTTAGTGAAAATAAAGTCTATGTAGTTTATTTAAACCCAAATACACATTTTTTATTAAGAAATATAATATTAAAAAAAACGTGGTTATTATATTAATCAAATAACTATGATAGATAATCAAAATGATGACTTTTTAACAAATATTCCAAGCCATTTTAGAAAAACTTTTATTAGCAAAAATTTTTATTATACCGTATTTCATATTTCATATTTATATATATAATATTCATAGTTATAAAAAAATATAAAACTTTATTTATTTAAATATTTTTTATTTAAAAAATATAAATATATTGTTAACATTAATACTAAGTCTATCATTAATCTAGAATTAGTGCTTGTATTATAATTAAATTAAATTTTATTAATATTAATTTGTACAAATAAACCAATTTATCAGATATATATTATAAAAAAAAACATTATATTTTTTTAAATAATATTAAATGAAAAAATTGAAAATATAATAAACTTTTAATTATATTATTAAAAAAACTCTTTCCTATAAATGAATTTTTTACTAAAAAATTTTTTTATTTAATAATGAGTTTTTTGAGAAACTTTCCAATTTAAAAACTTCTTCAAAAATACTTTGCTTTTAACTAACTTCTACTATAAAGCACTTTACTTTTAACAATAACAATAAACAATTTCTATATATAATTATCTACAAAAATTGAAATTAATTTTTTAAAACTTTAACTTTTCTATAAACAAAATAATTTTACTAAAAACTTACTTTTATATTTTCAATTTTATTAACTTTTTTAACAAATTTTTTATAATTAAAAAAAAAACATAAAAAAAATATTATAACAAAATTTCAAATAATATTCATATTATTAACTTTGCTATCAAATCCATTAAAAAAATGATTTTTCAAATCTAAATCATACTTTCTAATATAAAAACATTAATTTAAATTTAAAATTTATTAGTAATATTGTTAAAAATAGAAAAACACAATTTAAAATACAATATATTTGTAAAAATTTCTTCTTTCTTCTTAAAAAAACAAAAAATTTTAACTAGCTTATTTTTAAAAATAATCTTTTATTTATTAATTTCTTTGTTCTTAAAAAAAATATTAATCAAATAATTACAATATAAAAATATATATCATTTGTTTATTATATTAACTTTATTTTAATTTACGAATTTTATAGAAATTAGTAAAACAATTAATAAACTAATAAAACTCTTTATATGATTATAGTTCTGCTTTTATATTAAATAAAATTAACAATATAAATAAATTGTTAATTTTTAAATAATCAAAGTAAAAATCTTTCTTGAAATTTATATATTTAGCATAATATTGGTTTGCAACAAGTTTATTTCTTGCAATATTCTAAAAAAACTGTAATCTTTATAATTAATTTTTAAAAAAACTTATAAAAAAAACTTTTATCAATAATTTTTTTATCTTCAAATTAAATAAAAGTTAAATCATTGTTTTTTATTTTTAAAACATTAATTAATTTTATTGTATAGCATTAATGACTTTAATCGCTTGTTAAAAAAGTCTTTGTTTTTGAAATTATTATAAATAAGTATTTGTGATAATATAGAAAAATTATTAAAAATATTATTGTTAATTTAATTTGCTTATAGATTAAAAAATAAGCAAAAAAAAATTTAATTAAATAGAAATTGTATAAGAATTATTTATATTATTACTTCTACTATCTAAATCAATATTGTTATTATATACTTGTTATAAATTATTATAATAATTCTACAAGAATTAAATTGTATTTGTATTTGATGTTTTAAAAAAAAATTTAAGCTATATACTATTGTTATTAATTATTTTTTTAATAAAAATCAATATGTTTAAAAAGAGTTCAGATATTAATATTTTTATTTAAAAATAAAAATATTAAAATTATTATTATTAAAAATATTAAGTTAATTTCAAAAAATATAAAAACTGCAATTAAAAATCCTTTTAGTAATTTCTGAAAAAATATAGATTTTATTATTATTTGTAATTATAAAAAAATATTTAAAATCAAAAAAAAATTCAAAATATATAAAATATTATATTTAAAAATAATATTACTACAAAAGTAAATATATTAAAGAGTTTAATTTCAATAAAGTTTTAAAAGAAATAGCAATAACTTTAGTTGTTTCAATTTTATCTATAATAAGTCTAATAGAAATAGTTTATGTTTAAAAAATATTTTAAGTTTATAAAAACAAAAAAAAAAAGAGTAATTATTCTAGAAAATTAAATTGTAATTTTTTTGTTAATATTTTTCAACACATTTTGATCAAATTGAAAATAAAAATTTTTATTAATTTGAAATTATTAAGATTTCAATATTAAATAATAATATATATAGTGGTATCCATAATTTTTGGATATTTTTTATAAAAAATCAAAAATTGTATTAATATTTAATAAACATTAATTTATAAAATATAAAAAAAATTAATATAAATTATTTCCAATTAATAAATAATCATAATTAAAATATTTTATATTAATCAATAATATTATTTAAATATTGTGTTTTTTTTTAATATTATATTTTAAAAAATATATTATTTTTTGTCTTATTTATTACAAAAAAAAACATATAAAACATATATAAAAAGTTGAATTTTATAAAAGTCAAGTTATCAATCGATATATAATATAAAATTTTTACTTAAAATAATTAATAAAAAATTAATAATATAATCTATAAACCAGTTATTGATAAGTAATTTTATAGTGTTTAAATATTTATATTTAATTTTATATTTAATTCAAACAAGTTTTTTTAAGTTAAATATATTAAAAAAATTTCAAATAATTTTGAATACCACTGTATATTTACTTATTTATTATAAAAAATACAACTTTAGTATAAACCTTATTAATTGATTTAATTATATACAGTAAATTTAATTAAATATTTTTATAATTTAAATAAATTTAAGCTTTAAAATAAAATTCTTGTTTAATATTATTAAAAATATAATTACAATAATTATAAAAATTTTATTTAAAAATTTAGTTAATACCCAGATATAAACCATATATACAGATTTAAATTAGATATTATTATAATATCTTGTTGTATATCTGGATTTAAATATTTATAAACGAATTTTAAACAGTAAATTGAATTATATATATCTTATAATTTTAATATTATAAATTTGGATTAAAAATAATACTTATAAACATATCCAATTATGTATCCTAATCCAAGCTCTAATATTATTAATAATCGGTTCCAACTTCTAGTAGGCTACAATCTAAATTATTTTTAGGATGTTACCTTGACACTTATGAATTCTTGAATAACAGATGTCTCATTTGCAAAATCTAATATACAGTATACTGTTTTTTTTTAATTAAATATCCAAATAAAACCTTGATAAATATCTATAAACCCACCCATTTACTAAAAACCTCAAATGTTCTATGTTGATTAAATTGATTTATATACAGCACAGTATTTTATTTTTTGTCAGACTTTTATTCATTTATCAGAGTATCATACAATCTATTTATAAGGCATACTGTAACATTACATTTGTATCATTATTGATTTTTATTGTAATTTGAACTTTTGTTAATAATAAATTTTATTGATAAAATGATTAAAACATCCTTAGGTAATAATTATTAATCAGTTGAGATTTCCATTATTATTAGTTAAGTAAATTCATATAATAGGTGGTTTAATTTATATGAGTTATATCCTTTACTTTAACTACGATTACAGACAACAAGCATATTTTTATTAATACTTGTTGAGCAAATTCATATTATAGGTGGTTTAATTGCCTGAGTTGTATTCTTTACCTTTAGGGTATAAGATATTTTCATTAATATTTTTTGAGTAAATTCATATAATAAGGGTTTAATTGATCTATTATATTCTTTACTTTAACTACAATTACAGTTTATAAGCATATTTTCATTAATATTTATTAAATAAATTCATATAATAGGAGATTTTATTGATCTGAATTATATCCTTTACTTTAACTACGATTACAGCCTGTAAGCATATTTCATTAATATTTTTTGATAAATTGAATTTAATTTATATATTTTTTCCAAGAATATATGATTGATGTGTAAATATTTATCTAAAAATCTATTTAAAATATAATTCAAAACATTTGAATTAAATAATAAAATTGATAAAATAATTGTAAAAAAAGTTCTCTTTTCAATTTATATTTAAAAAACTTTTATGATAATAAATACTATTTTTAGTATTTTGATATATTATTCAATATTAATAGAATCTAGATAATTATATAGAAATCACCTTTAGAAAATATTATTGTTTTTAAAATTAAAAACAAATCATATATTAATAACTGTTTAATAAATTATTTTATAAAATAAATAAGTTTAATAAAGATAGATCATATATAATATTAATTATACATTGTATGTGTAGTTATTTTTAATTAAAATTGTCTCGTTATTTAATAATAATTAATATATAAGTTTTATTTTTTTCCAACCTTATTAAAAAAGAATAATTTAAAATAACCAAAATATAAATAAGCATGTTTTATAATAATTAAAAAATTTTTTGAGTTGTATTATGTTAAAATTATCAAATAAATAAAATTTTTTTTTGATTTTTTTAACATTATGTAAAATTTTATCATTTAATATTATAAGTTTGCTTTGATAACCAATTTGTTACGTTTATATTTTTAACAATATAAATATAATATAATTTTTTATAAAATATGATGTGATTTATTCGGATTACTGTATATTATTAAAATGTTATTTATAATTTATTTTTATCGTAACATAGTAATGACAAAACCAGTTGTTTTTTTACCAGTATTACTATTTTTTTACTAAAAAATAAGTAGGATTTGATCAGAAACATTTTTTTTCACCAATTTTAAATCTTTTATGCATATTTACATAAATTATTAGAAAAAAAGAATTAAATGAATAATAGTAAACTATTATATATTAATTATCACTTTTTACCAAAAGTTTTTATCACATTACTTGATTATTTAGGATCATGTGACTCAGGCTCAAAGAGCCATAAAATATTTTTTCACATTATATAATTTAAAAACTTGTAAATATTGACGTTTTGAATTTCAATTATATTAAAAGCACCTACAATATATACATATTTTTAAATAAGTAGTCAAAACCCTATTATAAATTAGAATTTGTGTGGTTTCTTTCTTTTATTTTTTATTCATGATCCTTGAATACTTTGTTTATTGATTCTTATTTAAAAATTCTTGTTAAACATAAAAGCATTGCAACAAAAAATCAAAAATCTATCTATAATTATTTACGATAAATTTTTACATGGTTATTTTATTAAAGGCTAAAATGAAAAATAAAATTCGCGTTGCAATAAATTAAACTGACATTCCAGAGTTGAATAGTTAGCTCTGTTGAAAATCAACCGGCATCACCGCTTTGATTTATCAAAATCAAAATATGCAACAATTAATTTGATATATCAAAATCAATATATCCAAATGCAGCAACAATTAATTTGATATCAAAATCAATACATCCAAATGCAGCAACAATCAATTTGATATGTTCATTAATAGATCTATTTAGAGAAGCAATGAACTTTATCCTGTATATAATTTACCCATTCCCTTCACTAAATGTTACTTGTATGCGTGAAAGAAGGAAACCACACCAGGTAATAATGGCTATCAAATTTGATATATTAGTCATAAATGAATTCAAATTTATACATTATCACAAAGGACTTGCATTCATGACTTATATTTTAAGAATACTATTATGTTTTTTATAAAATCACGTCAATGACGGTTATCAGCCGATCTCTAGCACTTGGTTAAATCTTCGCGGTGTGTTACAGATACATTATCTATATATACTACACATTTTCTCATTTTTAATTTGCTCAGACACAATGTTTAGAAAAACTAACACCATGCAAAATAAAGGTCACGATTTTGTTAGTGATTATGACTTTGCTGCACAATTGCAACAAGAAATCTATGAAGCAAACTACATTCCCAAAGGAAAGTTGAAAAATATTCCGTGATTGTTTTGACAAGATATTTGTAAAAAATACCTTTTCTCCTACATAGATGACGCAATTCCTCTCGGTATTTCAAAAGAAGATTATGATGCCGCTTTGAAGACGCAACGAATGTATGATGAGAACAAGGTCTTGGGAAATAATTACGAAGGTGAGCATATAATGCGCTATACTGTGAGTCATGATATGATTATTTAATGTACTCTTGACTCATCTATAATTTAAAGATATTGTTCCTCGTATGAGCAACATGACGTTTGAACATTGTGAAGATCGTAAAGTGGACGAATATTTAAATAAAGGCAAAGATTGGAATGAAGGGTTCGACGGAAAAAAATTTTCTCAAAGAGATATGAATAGTGTCGACGACGACGATCCACCACCTTATTACAACTTTTCCAGCAGACCCCATAGTAGCGGCGATTATCCTCGAAAGCCTACATATAACAGCAATGCTAACGATTATCCTCGAAAGCCTACGTATAACAGCAATGCTAACGATTATCCTCGAAGGCCTACGTACAACGGCAATTATTATGATTATCATCGAAATCCTACGTATGCTGGCAATATCAACGATTTTCCTCGAAAACCTATGAGTAACGAAAATTCCCGTGATGGTTACTATTATGACAGCAACGACCATCGGCGTAATAGTAATCGCCATAATCTTAATAATAATTTTTTCCCAAGGTCTGCATTTAACGATTATTTTGGTAGTAACCGCCGTGACAGTAACGATTATTACGACAATGATAATCACAAACCTTATCAAAGACCTGCACGAACTAAGATTAACCTGCCTGGAAAAGAGCAGCGTGTTTTTAAAATTCTTTTATTAGGTGGAACAGGAACTGGAAAATCCACCATTATCAATACAATGACAAATTACTTTTTAGGTGGTACTTTAGACAATATAAAAATTGTTATCCCCTCAAAATTCTATAAAGTTACCGAAACAGGTATAAAACTTATTAAAATTTAATCCTAAATTTAATGGAGTATTATTGATTCATTTTTTTGCATACTGTGAAAATTATTTTTTAGAGTTCACTAATGAACATTCGGAAGCTAAATTGGATGATGTAACAAAGAGTCAAACTACAAAATGTCACGAATACACTTTTAATCATCCAATCAATCCTAATTACAAATTTATCTTCATTGATACCCCTGGACTGAGTGATACGAATGGTGTAAAGCAAGACGATCAAAATATTCAAGAGATAATAAATACTGCAATTTCTGCTGGTTCACTATCGGCTATTGTGATTATCGCAAATGGAACCGAAGCTAGGGTTACGCCATCGATTAAGAATACCCTAGTTCTGTTAGCAAACAACCTTCCCGATGAATTAGTGGATCGTAATTTAATTCTTGTTTTAACAAAGTGCGCAAAAAGCAGTGCTTGTTTCTCGAAAGATGCCTTTGCAAAAGAAATAGCAAACCCAAAGGTTTGAATTTCTACAATTTCTTCTGTTAAATTCTATATGATATATTCATTAACTTTATTACAGCATATTTTTTATATGGACAATCAAGCTTTTTGTACAAATCCACAAGTGTGGAAACATGACGAGGATGAACGTCATACAGTTCAATTTCACTGGGACAAGTCTATTAGGACGATCGATAATTTGCTGGTTTCAATTACCGAACTTTCTTCTACTTCAACTCAAGCTTTTGAACAAATGAAAAGCTATAGGAACAAAATCAAGTCTGAAATCGCTAAAGTGACACAAGATATCTCAAATATTCAACAAGTTCAAGATTCACTTGAAGCTGCCCAAAAGGCTTTGCAGAAAACTGGAGACAAAAAAAATTCATTTTCCAACTACACAAAAACAGAAACAATGTCAATTAAAAAATTTGTTAATGTTGATTACTATAGTACCGTTTGTACACTTCATTTTAAGAATGAAATCATTTGTCACCAAAATTGTGGACTTGAGTTTGAATCCAATCACGGAACCGACCATTTTAGGTGGTGTTCCTGTATGGGATCAAATTATTTATGCATCGAGTGTGGATGTGGGCCCTCAAGGTAATCCTATACTATATTATTTTATTGCACGCAGAATTTAGTACTACTGTAGTATTTATTAAATAATTTTTATGTAGCCATTATCATGACAATGTTGCATTATCCGAGGAGACGCAAACGATTAATACAATTCTTGAAGATATTAAAGCGCAGTACGATAGTGCAAGTCAACAATATCAGAAACACAGCAGTGACGCAAACAATTACCAATCATCACTTTCGACTCTTCAAGCCGCTGCCAATGCCAAGTACGAGCTGATTCATAAACTATGCAATGACTTAAGTAAAATTTGTTCGCGGTTTAACTTTGTTGATGAGCTTCATGCGAATATTGAAAGTATGAAACAAGATTCAAGAATAATTCAGAATACTAATATACGACAAAATGCTGAAATGGAGATCAAAAGGCTTGAAAAATTAGCAAATGATTTGTCGTCTAAAGGACGCAGATTTAATTCTTAAATTTGTCATAAAATCAGATGATGTTATATACAGTATAAGAATTCCTTTGTTTTTAAATACTGTAATTTTCATATTATTAATAAATGGGATACTGATTTATGCAAAATTAAATTATCCATCATCTCATAAGCACAATGTTACCGGTTGTTAGTGTATATTATAATAAATTTCTTTGTATCAAATTGTATGCTAGCTGTAAAAAGTGCATTTGTAGCTTAGATATAAATAATCACAATATTTAATTGATAATTGAATATTTTATATGCAGGGATTTCTATCTTGTAAAACGGCTGCTCGGATCGACTACGGACAATCTAAAGAAAGTCAGCTTGATTTTTCGCTTTATATATTTAAGTTAAGCTAACCAATTATTGATAATGATTTTATAATTGATTTTTCAATAATTTTATAATAAAAATATCTCGAAATCTAGGAAATATTTCTTCACTATATTCACATATTTAAATATAATTTGTTAATTTCTCAAATATTGATTTTAAAATATATATAAAATCATCTATTTATCATTGCAATCTATATATTCATTATTTTCTACAATTTCTCCATATATTTTTCAAAGTTTTTTAATTTTTCTTGATATTTTGACTTTTAATTTATGTACCATGAAATTTGTGCCATTTTTGCAGCCTATGATAATATTAATCGGTTGAGAGATTCCGTGTGAATGCTAATCAATAAAGACAATGTCCATACTGAAGCTGCAGAATTAAGTGAAATTGATAAAAACAGAATGAAAATTCACTTAAATTTGATGTTGTATGAGCTGTATTGTGCCAATAACATTAGAAATATTTTGTATAACTTGGATTTTGATTGTGTTGTCAGGTGAATGATACGAATATATTAAATTTATTTATTTTTCTAATAGAAAATAAAAAATACACTGATTATAAATAATACAAGTAAGAAATAAACAAGATTTAATAAAATCAAAACAAGAAAAAATTATAAATAGAATGGAAAAATAGTTTTATAAGACATATTATAGTCCTGTATATTGCATATGCCCCAAAGAAATATAAAATAATGTTAAAGCCAAAACCTGTTAAATAATTGTTTACCATATGGATCAACCGTAATTTGCATTACACAAATAAAACAGAATAGGGTTAACCTAAGAATTAACAAAATACAAGATTCAATAAAATGTTTGTCAATTGAATAAAGTTATGCTAGCCGAGTTAAAACAATTACAAGAAAAAAAGTCTTTTAAATTGTTATTTTTTTAAAGAATATAAGTTAAAAAATAATATAACAATGAAATTACTAATTACTTTTCAATAATAGATATTGTAAAAAATAGCATTCTTATTTATTAGTTTATTTAAAAGTTTATTTTGATTATAATTTTAATAAAATTACAAAATAATCCATATGCTATTTTATAAGTATACTGTATATAATTCATTTAAATTCAATTCTTTATTATACATATATTTTTTTTAAATATGTAAACATTATTTTTTATTTTTGTACATATAAAATACATATATTTAAAAAGAAACAATGTCTTTTAGATATAAGGCATATAATAAATTAAATACGAGCTTGCCTACTTATACTATATTTAATTAATATTGAAAAGAAATTTTAAAACAATATTAATAGTTAAATATAGGCTGAATAGCAGATATATATGCTGTCTAAATTATTTTGCTATTTATTCAATTGTTAAAATCTTCAAAAATAATTGCATTAGATTCAATTATTTTATATGTTTTATTAGTGACTCAATTAATTGTGTCAAATAATTGCATCAATTGTGTTAAAAATCTATAAAATTCTCATTACATATATAATAGCAACTATATCTACTTACTCAAAAAAAATAATATATAAGTAAAGAAAAAAATAAATATAAGTAAAACAAAACTGAGTTAAGTAAATTATAAAATTTATGAAAATAAAAATAATATTTTCAAGAAAACTCTGAATCAGCTTATTGTCTTGTCTCTAAGATCTTTTAATATTCTTATTAATTTAAATAATAAAATACACTTGATATTGTTTATTATTGTAGTTGTTATTATTATAATTGATATTGGATTAATAAACCAGTTTAAACCAATTTTGTTATTTTTATATAAGTAATATAATAAATTTTAATTGAATGGTTGCCAGGCATCAATTAATTGAAAAGATAAACTAATTTTAGTTTTTGAAATTAAAATAGGATTGTAAATTTTTTGAGTGGCACAATAAAAGATATCAAAATAAAAATATATATAAAATTGTATTAAAACAAACATTAAATCCAACAATTTTATTTGAGTGTATTTTTTGGAAGATATTTGTAAATTTAATAAGTTTTATAATATTGGTAATAATGGTTTTTATAATAATAAAAGAGCTTGGATTGCAAGAAAACCAAAGAATAAAAATGTACTGCTATGAATCTTTTCTTATGCAACTGAAAACTAAACAAAACTTTCAAATTTAAATAGATTTCATTCAAAAGTTTTATCCTATTGTATCAGTTGTCTTTAGTATTATTAGGTTTCTAAGTTGAAATACACTTGCAATAAAGAGTATAAAGTATTTTTTCTTAATTAAAATTACTATATATAAAAATTTTAAGTAAAACAAATACATTTAGAAGAAAATTTTATTTTAATTCAAATTATATTGTAATAATATAAATAAATTTTTAAAAATTAAATAAATAAAATGATATTTTTTTTAATAACTACTTATCTCTAAAATAAAAATTATCAAATTATTATCACTTAATAAATTCTTGTTAATAGTTTCATACATATATAATTTTTAATATAATATAGTTTTTTTAGTTTTAAAAATCTTGATAAAATAATCAAATGATTATAATATTTAGTAAAATTATTATTATTATTATTATTATTAAAATACTGTAATATTTTCTTGTAAAATAAAATTAAAAAATTAAAAAATATAAGTTTATAATTTAAAAACAAATTTAATTAAATTATTTATAAATAAAAAATTATATATAAATTTATTTTTCTTTTTTAAATTTGAATTTAAGATATAATTTCAAAAATAAAAAACTGTTTTTTTAAATTTTTAAATTTATTTTTTTTACTGCAAATGAGCATTAAATGCAAGACTTTATTAAATCATAAAAAATTCCTGTCATTACATTAAATATTTATTTAAGTTAATACTAACCTATTACATGTACAACTACTAGTTTCTAAAAACACTATATAAGTAAAAAAAATTTGTAGTAATTTATAAATAGCTAATGCTCATTTATAAACAGCTAAGTTAAGGTAGTTATTAGTAATATTTTATTGACTTGGGTTTTGGCTATGCTGTCTGGATCCATAAAACCATAATGATAGCTTTTTAAGATGATATATTATTGATTGGATTTTGGTTTTGTTGCTTGGACCTATGAAACTATAAGACAACTGTTTAAGAGCTGAGTAAGATATATGAAAAGTCCAATATTTTTATATAACTGTAATGTTGGAGTTGTTATTATATTAATTAGAAAAGCCATTGGAATATTGTAGTATGAAATTGTTGTTATTACTGTTATAAACAGGTTTGAGCCAATTTGATTGTCATTATATTGAATTGCTAGTATTTAATTGGTTATTGAGTATATATTGTTAGCATAAAAATTATAATAGGGGCATGACGCGACATGTGGGACCCAGTGTGGTGCCACATGAGGTATCGATCATGTATCAATCATGCATGACCGATGGGCGCAAAGCTTGTAAAAGTTTAATAATTTTACATAATGCGACGATAGATTTAGAGACACGTTGCAGCTATATATAAATAGCAATGATATCCAAATGTAAAAAGAGAGACATGTAAGAGAATAACGAATTAATAAAATATCATCTGCTATAAATCCAATTGTGCTAGTGCAATGATAATTAATAAACTTACCTTATTTGTCTCTAGTTGTCTTAGAAAGAATTCACAAGCCCTGCAGTTTGGCAGCAAAGGATTGGAAGAGGAACCAACCTAGAGAAGAGGAAAATAAGGATAATTATCACCATATATACCTTTGGTATCGCCAGCGACATAGACCCATTTACTCAACATTGTACGAGTCTTAATCCGGATTAGCGACTGACTTACTATTAAGATCAACAATATTGATCAATTGGAGGAGTAGAACTGATTTTGATTTCTGAGAATGATTAAATTTTTGTAAAAAGTGGATTGGTACAGTATTGTATATCAAGTGATAGATAATTGATTTAAACAAGTATTAGATCCAGTAACTTTGCTTGAGTGTGACTTTAGGATTAAATTTGCAATAGTGGAAAATAATAGAAAGATAATAATAATAACATTGTTAGCAGAAAAAATGAGTGGAATAATTCAGATCGCATATAGTCATGTGATTTGGAATAATGCAGCAGATCAGAAATTTAAAAGTCTAATAAGCTAAAAGCCTATTTTGTATAATGTGATAATAGCCTAATAGATATGTTGCAGACAGTATAAATATAATCAGAATTAGTTAGAGAGTAGAAAGAACAAATAAACAAGAAAATATTATATAATAAATATAATAACATTGCTTATTAAAAAACCATTTGTAATAATTAATATACTTACCTTAAGAGAATTGCTGGCTGTTGAAGAATTCTAGAGGCACATAGGAAATTGTAATAAAGAATTAGCTTGGCAATACAAAATAAGAGAGGTTATTAATATGTATTTTTGATTAAACAAGTAATCCCTGACCCCTAATACTATTATTATATGAGCCTTAACTTCAGATTTGTGACAGACTTACTGTATACTATACATGTGGTAGAAATTGGTAGATCCTTGACGCAATTGACGCAATTATTTGACGCAATTAATTGAGTCACTATTAAAATATATAAAATAATTGAGTCAGACGCAATTATTTTGAAGGATTTTGGCAATTGAGTCAACAGCAAAATAATTTACACCACATGTATACTGTATACCAATAACAATATATAAATAATAAGAGATATATAAAGACAAAGTTATGAAGGAGAATTGCCAGAGGCCTTTTCCTATACAAACAAAGAGTAAACAAGATCCTCAAACTTGCTTGACCTTTGCTTAGAGGTTCCATTCCAATGCAACAATAGTTCTTAAAGTCCTTATGTTCTTAAGCTTATGGTATAAATAGCATATTGAAAGAGTATAAAGCACTTTAAAAAAAATTATCATAAAAGGAAATTTTCAAAAAATTAGTGGTAAATGGGTGAGAGTTTTTTTAAAAAAATTTTTCAATTTATAAAAAATTTTTTTTAAATAATATATCAAAAATAATAAATTGATAAACAGTTTTGACTATTAAAAATATATATTTTTTAAAGGTTAAAAAAAATTCTTATTTATTGATTAACAAAATATAAACAATTCAATACAACTAAAGTTAGTAGTAACATGTATGTACTGTTATATATCTTCCTACCTCAGGAGAAAGATATGAATGGAGAACTAGTAGCAGGGAGACACTTTGTATGGATGAACCAATGAGATATGCTAAAGTTCATAAGGGTATACTAAAATTAGTACAGTTCTGAGGTATATGAGGTCAAGCAAAAGAGGCAATGGTGATTTGTTTTGTAAAGGTCAAGTTATTTTATTAATAAAGAGAAAAGTTCAATCTTGCAATTTCAGGAGGAATTGGAGATGTTTATATATATATTTTTAATATATGATTTAGTATATGATAAATATATGCTATGTATAGTATTTGAGTTATAAGTAAAGATGGGTCCCTAAATTATTTGTGAGGACATAATTCAAATGTCCCTTATTATTAAAAATTTTCATTTCTATATTAAGAAATAAAAAAAAACTACCTACAAAGGTTCTTTATAGTTTTAAGCATCTATACAAATCATTTCTAGAATTATATCCCTATTGAAATAAAGAGCTAGAAATTATGTCCTCTAGGGGACATGGATGTAAAGGGACATAAATTTTATATACTAAATACTTTAGGGACCCATCTTTAGTTATAAGATAAATACTATCTTCGTCAGAACAATTTGCTATATATGTTTTCATAGAGAAAAGTGCTTTGGCAAAGATGAGTGATTAAAAATAAATTAGAGAAATAGGTAATATTCTAGAGCAAGGATAGCACAAAAAGCATAGTGCTTGGAGATAATAGATCAGTAATACAAAGATTATTCTAGAATGGGCAATATTACAAGAGTAAATGCTACTAAAAATTGAACAAGGGTAATGAAGATCTTTGAGCAAAAGTTAAGTATAACAGTACCTTTTATAGCTCCAAGTTCAAACATTATATATATTACTGGCATTACAATAATAAACATCAGTAATATTTATAATACAGGTAACATGATACAAGTGAATAATTCCTACTATAAAATTATTATGGATAACAATTATAACAAATCTGGAAGCACAATTAGATCCTCTAGTTTCTGCTCTAACAATAATATATAAATAAAATCATTGGATCATTTATTAGTTATAAATAATATTTGCTTTTTATTAAAATTTGATTATCAAGTTTAAGAGAACCTGGCTATTATATAAAACAATACAATTATAAGTCACATATCTTATGAAGACTTAGCATTTATTTTTTTATAAGAAGTCTACAAAAAAACTATTAAAATAGCCATATAAAAAGCCAGGTCTAATTGAAGATCTTGTAAACTCCTCTAGCCTATTATTTATAGAAAGTTCTAATGAAAACTCATATATAATAATATTTTCAAGTGCCAAAAAAAATAAAATTATTGAAATTTTTCTAAAAAGTGATCCAACCTTCAATCATTCTATAAATAATTATATTGCTTTACAAACAATTAATATCAATAAATGCTTATTAGCAAATATAATACAATTATTTAACTAGCTTCTTAACTACTTTCTACCAAGTCAAAAATTTTTATTTTTCTAAGAAATAAAAGGAAAGATAAAAGGAGAAGGAAAAGTTTGTACTGGTAAATAAAAACCCATTTAAACTAATCATCAGCCTAATAAGAGTCTTTTTTAATCTTGAGGAAAAAAGAAATTGGCACAAAAGGAAAAGAAAAACTTCAAGTCATTTCTTATCAAAAGAATACTTCGACACCTTGCTTTTTTACCATTATCCAATTGTATCATCAGTTGTAGTGTAGTATGACATAGAACATGTAGGAGTATATGTCTTGTTTACTTTTCTTTTATGTATTGATCAACTAGTTCAAAATTTCAACCAATCACCAATCAGAGATTCTGGTGTAATATAAAATTCAGGGTCAAACTGAGGTAGGCAAAATTCCCAAAAAAACCAAAAAAAAAAATTTGCTATACTTGAAAGTACTATTACAAACATATATAACTAGTGAAGAAAGATTATATATCTGAGTAGATAGGTTCCTACCAGCTTATCTACCTACCTGGACTATAAGAGTTTTAACTTATAGTGAATCCAAGATTCTTATAAAGCTTGGGAAATGCATTTACTTGATAGGCCTAACTAGCTTATTCACTTGCCTTAGACCAAAGGTTGTTTATTTATAATGAATCCAAAGTTCTTATAAAGCTTGGAAAATATATTCACTAGTGATTTATTTTCTGGAGTTCAAGACTTAAAAAAGAATATAGTGAAGAATATTTTTTTGTCAGGTTTCTTCTTTCCAGTAAAGTGTTCTTGCCATAAACCAAATAGATAAAGTTTTGTTTATTTTGTTATTGAAACATACAAAGTTTTTAGAAAAAGAAAAGGTAGATAAGTAGGAGAGGTACCAGCCTTCAGAAAGTAAGATTTTTAAAGAAAGTGTATAGACTTTATT